GAGAGTCCAGATGCCCGGCTTAGAGCATCCACCGCGCTCTTGCTCCCTGTCTTGCTTACTCCTGAGGATTTATTGCTGGGCTTGGATCTCACTGAAGTAATAATATCTCTGGCCCGAAAGCTTGGCGATCAAGAGATGGAAGAAGAATCTGAGACAGCATTCTCCACACTTCAACAAATTGGGGAACGGCTTGGTCAAGAGAGGTTTCAATCCTACATCTCTCGTCTGCCCTCTGCTCTGCGGAGGCACTACAATCGTCGCCTGGAGTCCCAGTTTGGAAGTCAGGTTCCTTATTATTTGGAGCTTGAAGCCTCTGGGTTTTCTGAAGATCCTGCCCCATGTATAGCGACTTTTTCCAATAGCAATCTGAAATTCGGGATTATTCCTCAGGAGCTGCACGCGAGATTGCTGGATCAGGAAGACTATAAGAACAGGACTCAGGCTGTTGAAGAACTAAAACAGCTGCTGGGAAAATTTAACCCAAGTTCTACCGCTCATTCTAGTCTTGTTGGTTTCATTAGCTTATTGTATAATTTGTTAGACGATTCCAATTTCAAAGTGGTCCATGGCACACTTCAAGTTCTGCATTTGCTGGTTATTCGCCTGGGGGAGCAGGTCCAACAGTTCTTGGGACCAGTTATAGCAGCTTCTGTGAAAGTGTTGGCCGACAACAAGTTGGTGATCAAGCAGGAATACATGAAGATCTTTCTAAAGCTAATGAAAGAAGTAGGCCCTCAGCAGGTGCTCTGTTTGCTCCTGGAAAATCTTAAACATAAACATTCCAGAGTCAGAGAGGAAGTAGTGAACATTTGCATCTGTTCCCTCCTGACCTATCCCAGTGAGGATTTTGACTTACCCAAACTGTCTTTTGATCTTGCTCCAGCTCTCGTCGATAGCAAACGCAGGGTACGCCAGGCAGCTCTAGAAGCCTTTGCTGTTTTGGCGTCATCAATGGGCTCAGGGAAAACCAATGTCCTTTTTAAAGCTGTAGATACTGTTGAATTGCAAGATAACGGAGATGGAGTGATGAACGCCGTGCAGGCCAGATTGGCCAGAAAGACTCTGCCACGGCTAACAGAGCAGGGATTTGTGGAGTATGCCATCCTCATGCCATCTTCTGCCCAGGGTAGGTCCAGCCATTTGGCACATGGCGCAGATACAGACTGGCTTATGTCTGGAAACAGAACTCAGAGTGCACACTGTTACTGTGGTGACCACACGCGGGACAGCATGCAGCTGTATGGATCCTACAGCCCAACGATCTGTACCCGAAGGGTCTTAAGTGCTGGGAAAGGGAAAAATAAATTACCATGGGAAAACGAGCAGCCTGGAGAAAACCAGACCTCCAATTCAAAGGACACTAAAGATACAGAGCAGGTATGCTTAATTTTCTTGAGTTGAAAATGAAAGAATTTACAATGAAAATTTTGAATTAAGTGCTGATACGGACATCCATTATAGTGGTACAAGTTATGTAAGTCCATTTGATAGGGTTCCTTCTTGGTTAAATTTGAGGATGAATATGATAGGGACAATAAATGGTTTCAATTATGGCTTATTTTCATCTTGTCACTCAGTCATACAACAGACACCAAATACCTAGTACACACTGGATGATGAACTAATTCCAGTGCCAACTGGTTTCTGGAGAAGGTTGCACACTGGCAGTTCACCTGTCCGTTAAGTGCTAAGACTAGAAATACAGAGTGCTGTGGAATGCCGGCGCGAGGAGAATAATCTCACTAGAGCAAATCAAAAAAGCCTCCTGGGTTCTGACCTTGGAACTCAGGTTCCTGTCCCTGAAAAGTTTTTATTTTAAAATTTACAAATCTACATGTAAATTCAGGGTAAGTGACTACTCATGTTCCTTATCTTTATTTGCCTGTTAACATCTTGCAATATTTGCTCCATATTTTATGAACCGTTTGATAGTAAATAGCACAAATTTTGATTTTCATTCCTTAATATTTTGACATGCATCCCCTAAAATAAGTTATAACTGTATTGCTGTGCTTCAGAATATTAATAGTAATTGAATAGTATATAGCTTTTATTTAAATTTCTTCATCTGTTCCCAAACTGTGTTGTATATTTTTTATTTTGCTTTTATCATCAAGATCCAGTCATGGATGTTGTGACTATTGTCTTTTTATCTAGTGTTATGTCCCTGCTTGTTTGTGGGATGTGTATGTTTTTCCATGCCTGGCCCCTTTTTTTCCCAAAGGCTGGGGCAATTGTTTTGTGCAATATCTCACATTGTAAATTTATCTGATAGTTTCTGTATGATTAGACTGAAGATAAAAATTCTTAGCAAATATATTATCTAAGTATTGGATACCACACAGTGGGATTGCCCCACCTTGAGGAACACATCATTTTGTCATTTGATCTTAACTGACAACAAGATCCAATAGAAAGGTATATTTTCCCTGTTACTATAGATGTTACATTGAGACCCTACAAATACCTCAACAATGTTTTACTCATTGTTTTTGACATCCAGTAAGTATTTTTACTTCTATTAGTTATTGCATTGAGGGCTACAAAGAGTGTAATTAAAGACAAAAAGCATTTCTTCTATATTTGTTGCCTAAAATTCTTTTTTATGTGTAATTATTTTAATCTATCTTTAATTTTTGCTCCTTAAAATTGAGTTTGTGTTTTTTAAAAGATTTCTCTGTGTGTGTGTGTGTGTGTGTGTTTCTGTGTGTGTGTACATGTATGTTCATGTGTGTACATGCCTGTGGAAACCAGAAGAGGGTATCAGATTTGGTGGAGCTAGAGAAGTTATAGGATTCATTGACTGGCGGTGTAAGTGCTGGGGACAGAACTCTGTCCTCTGTAAAAGCAGCAAGAGCCCTGAACTGCTGAACCTTCTTTCCAGCCCCAAATTAAGTTTTTTAAAATTTATTTGCAATTCAGTTTTTTATTATTATTATTTTTTTTTTTTTTTTTGATTTTTGAGACAGGGTTTCTCTGTAGCTTTTGGTTCCTGTCCTGGAACTAGCTCTTGTAGACCAGGCTGGCCTCAAACTCACAGAGATTCGCCTGCCTCTGCCTCCCGAGTGCTGGGATTATAGGCGTGTGCCACCACTGCCCGGCTCGCAATTCAATTTTTTATTGAAAATCTTTTTCATGCAATATATTCTGATCAAGGTTTCTCCTCCCCAACTCCTCCCAGCTCCCTATCTACCCAGATCTACAGTTTTTCTCACAGTAGGAAATAAATAAGAAGCTAAAAAATAACAATCCAGAATAGGACAAAATAAACAAACAGGGAAAAAAAAAGCCAAAGAGAAAGCACAAGAAACACTCGAACACATATCAAAAACCATAACGTATAAGCAAAAGATCTGTAAGGTTTAAAAAAAAAATGCCCAGACAAAGTACTATGGGATAAAACCTGTTCAAAATACCATTTAGTTCATTTTGTGTTGGTTATCAGGTTAAGGTGTTTGACGCTGAACTACCCATGTTTGACCAATGACTGGCTCCTGTGATCTTTGGGCATAACTAGTATTTGAGTGTTTTCTTAATTAAGTACCAAGGTTTACCTGGTATTTTTCTAGTTTCACACTGGGATCTGCTGGGTTTTTTTCCTGTGGGATCCTAATATTGGCAATATGGTAGCGTAATATTTCAAAACCGAATTCTGCATATGATTTCACTCAGTACTAATTCTTGCTATTGCAGATCAGTCCTTCAGTGGGGAGAATCAAGAAGTATCTTCTTTAAAACAAACTCCTGAGTAATCCCAATTGAATTGGGCCTTGAGGGTTCTTTGCCATTTTCTTTTATTCCGTATTTGGTCTTCCTTGTTTTGTAACCAAGAACCTAACTTCCAACATCATTGTAAATGAAGTTCAAGATTCCTTTGTGGTTCTTTTTGTTGTTTTTTTGGTTTGGTTTGGTTTGGTTTGGTTTGTTTGGTGTTATTTTTTGTTTTTTTCCTCCAAGAGATAGGGTCTCACTCTGTTGTTCTGACTGTCCTAGAACTTATTATGTAAACGAGGCTGGCCTTGAACTCACAAAGATCCACTTCCTGAATTCTGGCATTTAAGGCAGACGTCTAGGTCCATAGTTATTTGTGTACTTTGAATTGTCACATTTTATTAAGACTCTTCAAAGAGTTGGTCATGTAGCTCAGTGACACAGTGTTTGCCTGACATGGCCCCTGGTTTCTTCTCCAGCACTACAAAAATGAAATAAAAGCAAAAACCTAACAACCAACAAAACTTTAAATAACCTTATTCTTTGGCAGAGCAAATACTGATGCTCCTTATGATGGATTTATACCCCAGTAGCCTTCTTGTAACTTGGAAATTTTATAAATCTGGCCTACTGAATGTCACAGCTTAGAGGCCTGGTAAACTGTGGAGAAGAGGGTATTTCTGCTTTTGACCCTGGGGCTAACTTGGTACTGGTCAGCATTACAAGGAAGGACCAAAATTTAAATTACTGCTTCTAATGAGTGCATATTGCTTTTGCACCACCATAAAATAAAAATTGTAAGTCAGGGATTTACAGTTTGTATAATGCATTTTGACATTTAGACTTCCTGCCACACGCAGTACTAAGGCAGATGGAACCGATCTCTAGGTGTTCTCATTTCTCGCCTGTTCTTCGAAAGGGTTGTATTTAGTTATTTATTTGTCGCGGTGCTGGGATTGAACCTAGGGCCTTAATATACTAGGTATGCATTCTGTTAGGTTATATGTCCAGTTCCGTCTTTTTTGTTTGCTTGATTTTTGTACTGAGGATTGAACTCAGGGCTTGTACTTGCTAGGCCAATACTTTGTTGCTAAGCCAAATTCCCTGGCCCTCCAATTCCGAAATGTATAGCTTGCTTTGAAAATAGTTTTCAGATTTATATAGTCTGTTTATATGATTACTGCCATGTTTTATAAACATTAACTTTCTGTAAAAATTGTTCTTAGGGCTGCTTGCCCTGTGTCTAAGATGTCTAAGATGTTTAGTGAGTATATTAAGATTCTGTTCTGGTGCTCGCTTGGGCAGCACATATACTAAAATAGGAACATACAGAGATTAGCATGGCCCCTGCGCAAGGATGACACGCAAATCTGTGAGGTGGTCCATATTTTTTTCTCTTTGGAGGGATATCTTGCTCAGCTTAGATATAGTAGGGAGGGCCTTGGTTCTGCCTCAAAGCATTTCTGAAATGCTAGTTTGTATTCATTTACATTGAAAGCTTCTGTGGTGAGACTGAAATTTATCATAGTACTCAAGTTGTGGATATATATTCAGAAATGCCTGTAGAAATCCATTGTAAGTTATGTAAAATGAGGGCATGGACTAAATAGATACGCATTTGAAAATGTACATCTTTAAAAAGTGTACATATGTATTTTTATTGTTACTGTTTGTTTTTAGAGCAGAGTTAGGATAATAGCCGCAATGGAAAGTGCAGGTGATTTGTGAATTCCCTGCCCACATTTCAATAGCCTGCTCCCAGCTTCTAGCACATGGTTGGTGAGCACATCACAGTGGTAGAGTCAGCAAAAGCACAGTAAGATGAACTAAAACGTTTATCCTTCACCTTAGGCCTCTCTCCTGCCTTGTATATTCTATGGGGTTTTGGCAAGTCTGTGTGCACGGGACTCTCCATTGTGGTCACATAAGGGATAGTTTGATCGCCGTACATGCATAACCTCTGTGCTATGAATGCTCATCCCTGCTCTCCTCTCCATCGCTTATTTCCTCACGTTTGCCTTCTTCTCAGTGGCATGAAATTGCATCTGTGCCAGCCTCCTAGAATGAGGTAGGAAGTAAGCCTTACGTGTCTGCCTTCTAAGGAAGATTGTAGAGGATTGTCATAATTCCTTCTGCAAATGTTGACTAGATTTCACTAGTGAACATAGCTGAGCATGGTGCTTTCTGTTCTCAAAGGTGAATTTAGAGGTAGACCTGGTCAAATGATCTGTTTCTTCCTAATATTGATGTGATTTGTGTGCTTTTCTTTAATTTCTGCTGTTAGAAATATGTGTCTTCTATATGTAGCCTTATCAGTTTTATTGATCTTTTCAAAAAGCCTCCCTCTGGTTTTCATTGATTTCTATGCTAATTTTTATTACTTTTTCCCTCTGCTTTTAGTTACTTGTTCTTTTTCTTGTTTATATATATTTTTTGGAAGGAAGTGGGGAGCATTTGTGCCATAACACCTGCAGGGAAGTCATAGCACAGCTTGAGAGAGTTGGTTCTCTCCTTGAGCCATGTGGGCTGTGGGGACTGAACTCCGGTCATCAGGTTTGGCTGCAGTCTTTACCTGATGAGCCGTCTTGCTGGCCCAACAACTTCAGTTTTTAATTATGGAAACAATTTTGTCATTCCAGAAACATCTTTATCTAATTTGAAATTTGTTTAAATTTCACTTAATGTTTTTTCTTTGACTTAAGAAATGTAATTTAGGGCTGGAGAGATGGCTCAGAGGTTAAGAGCACTGGCTGTTCTTCCAGAGGTCCTGAGTTCAATTTCCAGCAACCACATGGTGGTTCACAACCATCTGTAATGAGATCTGGTGCCCTCTTTTGGCCTGTGGACATAATGCAGGCAGTACACTATATACATAATAATAAAATAAATCTCTTTTTTTAAAGTATATTATTTGATTTCCAATTATGGGGATTTTTCATTTATTTATTTATTTATTTATTTATGATTTCTATCTCTTCCCCGCCACCGCCTCCCATTTCCCTCCCCCTGGTTTTTCTTTTCTTTAAGTATTATCTTTATGTTGCTGATTTCTAGCTTAATGCCTTTACAGTTTGAGAACAGAAACTGTATTGTCATATTCTTTTCAGTTTCTTAGTGTGTTTCATGGCCTAGAATATATGTCTTTTCTTTCTGTTCGTGTGTGTGCACAGAAGTGTTTTTCCTCAAGTGTGAGTATGTGGTGGCCAGGGATTGACACTGAGAGACTCCCTCTATAGATGTCAACCTTCTGTATTGAGATAGGGCTTTCTCATTGACCCTGGAGCGCAAGGATTCTTCAGCAAGACAAGTAAGTGATCATTGTGTTGCTGTCCCACTCGCTTTACACTAGGGTTGCAGATGCTGGACCCAGCAGGAGATCTGAACTCTGTTCCTCATTGCATATGGAGTTCTTACCTTCTCTTCTGGCTGTCTCCTTACCTCAGAATGTTGTCTTATGTTGACAAATGTCCCTTGTGAGCTTGAGAAGAATACCTAATCTTTTGCTTGATGAAATTATCTATAGCTGTTAATTATATCCACTTCATTCATGTTGTTGAGTTCAGTAGTGCTTTCTGCTTTGTTCCATAGGATCTGTCCATATTTCTGATACAGGTATGATGAAGTCTCCAACTGTAATACTAGATTCATTTATTTCTCTGTGCAGTTTTGCTCATATTTCCATCACATAACTTGACACTATGTAATTAAAGATGATGTTAGATGATTTTATTTTCTTGGAGTATTGATCCCAAGTATATTATCATATAGTACTCCTTTTATGGCTAATAATTTTTTTTTTTGCTCTGAAGTTCACTCTGTTTGAAATTAACACAGTCGTGTCTGATTTCCTTTTTAAAATTTTATTTGTATGAGTATTTTGCCAGTATGTATGACGTGTACCACACATGCATACAGTGCTCCTGGGGGCCAGAAGAGGGTGTTGTTGGGTCCTCTGAGCCGGGAGTTTTAGACAGTATGAACTGCCAGCCAGATGCTGGGGATCTAACCCCTGACCTCTGGAAGAGCAGCCAGTCAGTGCTCTCAACTGCTGAGCCATCTCTCCAGTCCCATTCACAGTAGCATAATATATCTTTATACTTTTACTTAATGTGTATCCATTAGTATATTTAAAGTTGCTTTCTTACAGAAAATAGAGTGTTGTGTTTTGCTTTTATTTTACTCAGACAACTTTTAAATTGTTTCTTTTGTGTGAGTATGGTATATGTATGATCTATGTGCTGTGTGTGTATGCAGGAGCTATCTATTACGTACTTTATGACTCTGCCTCATTCCCTTCAGACAGGGTCTCTGAAGATAGCCAGCAGTCTTCAGAGTCTCTTGTCTTTGTCCCTGAAGCACTGGGGTTACCAACATACGTTCAGTCATGCTCTACTTTTTTTTAATGTGTGTTCTGGAGATTTGAACTCAGGACCTCCTGCTTGCACATAAATGCTCTTAACTGCTGAGCCCTCTCCATAGCCCATCTTGTGTTTTAATTGGTATAGATTACACCATTAACACTTAATGTGATGGATTAGTATATACCATATGTTTTATTTGTTGCTTATCTTTTTATTTCTTCCTTAACATTTTTTGTCGTTTGTAGATTTAATTGGGAATTGTTATGATTCTGTTTTCTTCTTTTTCAAAGCACATCAATTGCTCTTCAATTTTTTCCCTTCCTTCCTTCCTTCCTTCCTTTCTTTCTTTTCTCTCTTATTTATTCTCTATATTTTATGCTTGTTCGTTTTCTTCTAACTGTGGTTTTGCCTTAGAGTTTGTAGTATTTTACAGACATGATAAATAGAAACATTAATAGTATTGTTTGGAGTTGTTCTTGGGGCAACTAAGAATAAGAAACCTAGGAGCTGACGATATGATTCAAAGCTTAAGAACAGTTGCTGCTCTTTTAGAAGACCAGGGTTCGGTTCCCAGCACCCACACAGTGGCTCACAAGCATTTGTAATGCCCTCCTTCGACCTCTCTGTATAACATATGTATTCATGGTGAAAAGATACACATGCAGACCAAACACCCACACACATTAAATAAAAATTTGAGAAAATAATAAAAGAAATTTTTATTATACCTCATTAATTGTTTTTCTAGTGTACTTTGTGTCTGTCTGTCTGTCTCCATCTGTGTGTGTGTCCATATGCGCACATCTGCATGTGTATTTCAAGGACTTAACCTATTGAATTTTCTTTTTATATGAAGACCTCTTTAACATTTGTTGTAACACAGGTCTTATTGGGAGTTTGCCTCAATTTCTATCTGTCTGTGGATGTCTTTTTGTCCTTTTTGTGGGTAATTTCCCAAGATTCAGAATTCTAGGTTGGTGGTGTTTGGTTGGCTTTCCCTTCCTGTTTCTTGGCATTTTATTTCGCTCTCTTTCTTCTCACTTCCATGATTTCCAAGGAGTCAGATGTGATTTTTACCTTTGTCTGTGTAAATCCCGTGTTTTTTTCTCTCCTCCTGCAGTGTTCTTTGTCTTTGATTCTCTGTTCTATAGCTGGAAAATGATATGCTCACACATAGTTTCTGTGGCATTTATCTGCACTGGTGTTCTGTGAGCTTTGTGGACTTGTGATTGGGTTTCTGACATTAATTTAGGGGCATTCTCAGCCATTATTTTCTCACTTTGCTTTTTTTATATGTTTGTTGCTCCTTTTATAGTTTCCCACAGTTTTGCATATTCTGTATATTCTTTTTTAGTCTTTTTTCCCCTTCAGCGCTTTCATTTTAAAATTGCTATTGTCTAGACCATGTAAAGCACACACTGATGGCATTCCCACTTCTCTTTCAATGTTTTTTATCTTACTTTCTTTACGTTCTCACAATTGCCAAATTTCAGTTTATATTAACATGTTCTTGCATTTTTGTCTGCTTTCTCCTTTATAGCCTCTTACATGTTAATTATAGGTTTCCTTTTTTTCCTTTTGAATCATGGCCTAATTATTCCAGCCTTTTTGCCATATTTGATGCTGGTCTAATGCTTGTTCGTTTTCTTCTAACTGTGATGTTTTTCTTACTAGGTTTGGTTTGGTTTAGGATTCTTTTGTTTTAGTGTGCCTTATAAGTTTTGGTCGAGAGTTGACTGTGGTGTACTAGAGAAAAAGTAAGTGGTGGATGCTGTTAAAGTGTGGGGGAAGTGTCGTTAGTCCTGTAATGAGAACTTGGGGATACCTGAGCTCTGGATTCCGAGATTCACCTAAGCCTTCAGCTTTCCAGCCAGTTGTGTAGCAGAGGTTGCCCAGAGGGAACTGTCACTGACCAGTTCCCTTCTGTTGGGTCACCAGGTGCTGGGGACTTCAGCACATCAGCTTTGCTTAAAAGGAAAAGCTGCTCCTCGGGGCAGGCCTAGTTAAGCATGGAAAAGCTCTGTGTATTGC